AAAGATGTGACATCAAGTTTTTCCAGTATATTCCAAGCTATATATAAATGTGAGATAGTAATGGTGTGTGTATAATGATTTAAAGACAGAGTGAACCAGCCAGTGTGATAGCTATTGAGGTTACTTTTTACAAGTTAGTTGATTTTATTTATGTTAGTGTAGTACAGTGTGAGCATCATTTGTAATGTAGGCCTACAGCAAGTGATGATAGTGTAGAAGTGTTCAAGTTTGTAGGATATTATTATTATTATTATTATTATTATAAGAAATGGACATTGAATTATTTTCACCAGATAATCTAAAAGAACATGCCAATAAGAGAAATAAGCCACAACATTATCATTAAAAAATAACTGATTATATTGTAAAAGAAAATTACTTGACAATAAAAAAAAAATTAGCACATATATACATATCCACTAGGAGTACCCACTAGTTAATTTTATATAAATATAATAAATTTGGAGGGAAGGCAAAGTTAAATTTAACACTAGGGGTAATAGCTCAAGATGTATAAAAAATATATTTACTTATATATACATCTGTATATAATACAATCAGTAGGTACCATACGACAGGATAATCATCATAGATTGAATCAATAAATTGATTGATTCTAGATTCTTTGCTTGTGATATACAACTATTTTTCTCACACTCTGAAAATTTTCCTTGTCATATTTTGCCATTTGTTATGCAAAAAATAGAGTGTGAAAAAGTAAAACATTTGTTACTACTTTGCAGAGGCATGTGCCCATTGTAATCTTGTGGAATTCATGAGATTAAACTTTAAGTAATAACAATGTATACTATCTGTTTCTTACTTCATTTGAAGTCAGAATTAGAGTCAGCAAACAATAAACCTTTTATTCTATAGTAAAAACTGCAATGTATTAGTAAATAATTTGGCTAAAGTTAGTGAAAGCCTGTTATATTTTTAAGTTTAAAGGAGATTAGAGGGCAAACATACAAGTCAGCAATCAAGATAAGGATAGCATGAAACCATGTAGCAAAATAAATTACAACAGACTACTTTCAGATTTCCTTGCGAGTATTTTATACCTTAAGCAGTTCTTTTAATGTCAGAAAATTAGAAAGCATTATTAACTGCAAGAAAATGGAACTCAAGGAACACGCATAAAATTGGATTGACAGAGATATTTGTGGGTTTATCAATCAGTGGGGTAACTGGTGTTGTGTATCCTTATATTCAGTCATTTACCAATTATTACATAGTATGTGTTACTTACCTATAAAATTAATTTTTTTTCTTTCCAAGTTCTAATTTTGAAACATACTAAATCTGGTTGAAGAAATTTGCAGCATTCGGCCTGATTGATCAAAGAATTTGTGCTGTTTCACAGGATAATTGAATTGTTTTCTGCTTGACCTTATGTTTTGGGATACTTTGCAACTGTTAGATGGAGCAGATACTTCTGCATTTTCATGTTAACTTTTTTTTTTTTTTTTTATTATTATTGGTTAGCCACAGAGAAAAAGTGTACTGTAGATACCATTTTGGAGTTTAAAGTTCAGATTTGCTCTGAATTTTAAAGAAGATCAGTTTATTTTTCATGAGACAACCAAGGCTTGCTCTGGAAGTCCATTATTTGTATTGTCTTATTTCCACTTGCTGATTATGTGGTAAAAAAAAAACTTTCACTTCAACCTGTTCAATTATTTTCTTTTTTTTAATTTTCATACCCATCCATATTAAAAATCAGCTGTCATTTTCAGATTTTGTTCAATAAATAAGGAATTTCTTTTCATTTTGACTTCAGCACTGTGTCTCGTCTTTTTCATTTCAACTGAAACAGATCATTATACCTGTCTTTTAACATATTAGATTCATGAATCCCTTGTTTTACAAAGAATGAGAGACTGTGAGCTAGATGCAAGGCTGGGCTATTAAACATTGGGCTCATTCATTAATTACATTCAACTAATTGACTATTGTCACATGATATTTGGATACTAGGAATAATAAAAAAATAGTAACAGTTGGAAATACTAATTTTAATTAGTTGAGTCACGACACTAACTTATTAAGCTGAACAACCTTGAACTAAATATAAACAGCAATGACAAATAACTGAAGAGTGTAATAATCTGAAATACTAATTTTGATTAGTTAATTATTTTGTGGCATTAATTAATATAATCAATGCTTGTACATGATCAACTACAATGATAAATTGAACTAAATGCCCAGCTCTAGCTAGGGGTATCCTAAAATTACCAAAAATCAGGTATCCAAAGCCTCCTTGGAGGATGCATAAACTAATTTATAAAGTTATATTTGTGTATTTTTTTTCTTTCTTCTATCTTATTCTCCAATGTGTGTGTATATATATATTTAGTTTATATTTTTTACATCAAGGATTTGTTTTATTAAAAAGTACAATGAATAAAAGGAGTTATCAGTACAACTATAAAAGACACAAAAACAAGAGAAAAATCTTATCTTCTCTACTTATGGGCTGCAAAATGATTTTTTACTCTGCACAAAATTGTACAACTTTACTGCCAATTTTCTATAGCAAATAAGAAAGTGGAAAAAGGACAGAGTTTGTAGATTGGAGGAGATATTGAAGGCTGTTCTAAGTAGGGTAAAGGTGATGGAAAAGGAGAAGGGTAAACTTCAGGAGGCGGCAGCAGGATTAAGAGGAATTTGAGCTTTTGCATGCAAAGGATACATAGAATTTTCAGGAGGTTGAAAGCAGTAATAATAAAATTAATTATAAAGAGCAGACTCTGGTAAAGAACAAATTTCAGCCTTTTGCTTGTGCAGATGAGGAGCTTGAGAAGGTAAAAACAACAAAATGGATATATACAGATAGGAATGAAAAATATTAGGATGTTATTGCTATAGGAGAATCTTTAGTATGGCACATGGATAGGATAATTTGTGGGGTAAATAGAGAGAAGAGAGATTACACTATTCAGGGGCAGGGTTGAAGGATATAATTAACAAAGCAAGTGATACAGTAAAAGGTGCTAGTAGTGAAACAGTCTTTGTAGTGCACACAGGAACTAATTGTTAAGTACAAGGCATTAATAACAGTATTCAAAGTAAAGGGCCATAATAGCATAATTCTGTCAGGGATACTGCCGAGACTTAACTGTGGAGTTGAAATTATAAGTAGGTCACTAGGGCTGAATACTATGCTATGGTTAATATACAAGAAAAAGTAGTTTGGCTGGTTGGATTTATGGGGTCAGTTTAATAGGAAAAAGGGGAGGGCTATTAACTCAACTGTAAAGGCAACTTTAAACTAGGAGTAGACAGTGGTGAGAGCCAGAATAATGAAGAAAAAATAAGATGTAGAGAGGGATATAGTGTGTGGAACAAGGTACAAACTTAGCATTAATGGTAGGCTATACTGTTATTATTGTAATGCTAGAAGTATTAGAAATAAAATGGATGAACTTAGAGCACTGGTTGGAACAGAGCATTTTCAAATACAGGGTTACAGGTTGTTTAATAAGGATAGAGTACTAAAAAGAGGGGGAAGAAGTGATTTCTTATATAAATGTGAGTTACAGCCTGTTCAAGTTGAGCTAAAAGCAATGAGGTTAAATCCACTTTGGTTTCTGTTAGTAGTTATAAGTAGAGAAGGCTTTTAGTTGGAATTTGTTACAAATCATTAGATGAAACTGATAAAATTAATGAGAGACTCAACAGGGAGATAAAGAATTCAGCTGTTAATGAGGTCTTAATTATGGGAGATTTTAATTTCAGACATAGATTGGTAAATGTTAGTCAAATCATGAGAGAAACAGGATTTTAGAAACTATTCAGGACAGTTTCTTGAACAATTGGTTAGGGAACCTAAAGAAACAATGCTATTTTAGATTTATTGTTAACTTCTAAGAAAGAAACAGTTAATACAGTAGAGGTTGGAGGACATCTGGGTGCAATTAATCACTGCTCAATTATATTTGATGTTTTGCTGCATATGGAGATCAGAAATAATGAGATTTTGTTTTCAAATTAAAAAGAAAGCAGATTTTGAAGAGATGAGACAAGAATTATCTGCTGTGAATTGGGGAACTGAATTAGTTGGAGGTACTGATAAAATGTGGAAAAATTTATAAATCTTAAATATTCAAGATAGATATGTTTCTCATAGACAAAAAAGGTTGGCTGCAAACAAAAAAATCAGGTAGGCTCACAAAGGATACAAAAGATAAAATTAAAGAAAGCATTATAAATATAACAAGTTTAATTGACTTCAATGATTAGAGATATGGAGGACTATAGAAGATCAAGAGTTGGTCAAATGGGAAGTTAGGAAATCAAAAACTATGTGAAAAAAGTGTATGGTGAATAACTGACAGGGAATAAAGAGATAAGTATGTACGTATGGTGAATAACTGACAGGGAATAAGTAGATATGTACGTACGTATGGTGAATAACTGACAGGGAATAAGTAGATATGTACGTACGTATGGTGAGTAACTGACAGGAAATAAGTAGATATGTATGTACGTACTTATGGTGAATAACTGGCAGGGAATAAGTAGATATGTACGTACGTATGGTGAATAACTGGCAGGGAATAAGTAGATATGTACGTACGTATGGTGAATAACTGGCAGGGAATAAGTAGATATGTACGTACGTATGGTGAATAACTGGCAGGGAATAAGTAGATATGTACGTACGTATGGTGAATAACTGGCAGGGAATAAGTAGATATGTACGTACGTATGGTGAATAACTGGCAGGGAATAAGTAGATATGTACGTACGTATGGTGAATAACTGACAGGGAATATATAGATATATGTGTGTATATATGCATGATGCATAACTGATAGGATATAAAAAAATTTCACCAAACCTCTAATTCCAACAGTCTTTCTTTTGATACTGGAGCCATAATCAGTATTAACTCCTTTCTCATTTTAAAAACCCACACAGATCCAATATAGGAATGTAGCAGTTTCGATGTTTTATGTTTTAGCCATTAAAGTATAACTGTTCCTACAAACAGGTCTAAGCATTAGAGACACTAACTCAAGTCTTACTTTTTAAACTTCCAAAAAAAAATCAAAATGTAAATCTTTAAACAAACCCCCCCAAAAAAACCATGTTCATAAAATTATGTAATATCCATATTCATGTCATAAGCTTCAGATAATCCTTTAAACTCTTTATAATGTGCAAGTCATCAATAGATAAAAAAAAAAGAAGTTATCTATGCTGTTTTTTTGGACATATTGTTACTGTAATTACACAACTTACATTGTTCTTCTTCTCCTCACCACTTCCTTCAAAAGTCGACAGCATCAAAAGAGCATTTTCATCTTTGGTTTGGAAAGTGAAACTAAAATTGGATTCCTTTTCCAGTGACTGAGATTTCATTTCCAAATATCCTATTCCTCTGAATCTGACCAGTTTAATTGGCTGAAACATGAAAATAACAAACTGAATACTGAGTATCTTAAGATATTATCATTACAATTATAATTTTTGAGTTTTTTTTTTTTTACTGCATGTTTTGTGTGTGTCTATAGTTATTCTATGCATTTGTTTTATGGTTATTAACCCTTTCAAGATGGGTCACAGGTGAAAGGTCATGTCATCTCATTTGTTGACTTGCATTCAAAATTTTATTGAACTAGTATTTCATGAATTTATGTCAATAAATTTGGTATTAAACTGTAGATTATAATTCAAATTTTAGTACTATACATTACTCAATTTCTTAATTGAAAAGTATTAAAAAAACACAGATAAACATCAATTTTAGTGTGTCATGTGGTATGTTGAATGTAGTACTGGTTCAAATTAGATGTTTGTGAAGTCAAATACGAAGTCTATAGTTTCGTATATATTAGAAACTCAAATTACCAATATTGTCAAGCTAGAATATAAAATAAGAACATCTTACCTTTTCTATTTGCTAAGATATTGTTCATGTAATAAATCAAACACAGTGGCACCCCACCCACTTTTTTCCATTTTTGGAAATGCTCCCTTATATGCACTTTTTTCTATGTATGACATGAATAACCAATCAGAAGCTCAGAAGTACCCCTAGTGGCTTTCTTGACCATTTTAAATGATTAGGATGCCATTTATTTTGAACCAAACTTTCAAGGACGTTTTTGTGTTTAGGTTCCAATGTATGTTATTTTACCAAAAGGGGAGCACCTCAAGATATTTCCTATGTCATAATCCTTTAGCCAATTCGACAGAGTATTCACTTATAATGATTCAATTTCACTCCAAAGAAATACAAAAGCTTTAAATACCATACCTATAATGCCTCAAATAAACAATGTTCTCTTCCGACTTACGTCAGACTTATATAGCACGAGTACATTCACTAACTGCATTCTTTTACATCAAAGAGAAGACTGTACCTCATCTCTACATTCGGGTGACAAGTTATAACTTTCTGCATTTAACAGGTTTACAGTAGTAGCTCCAATCTGTAGACCACTCATGCAACCATGGAAACTCTTGAAACCAACATCTGGAAAGCTTTGAAATAAAAAAAAAAAAAAAGGACTAGAAATTGAAATAAAAATAATCAAAAACCAAGCTTAAAATTCATTGAACTTTCCTCTAGTAGAGTAATTATTAAATAGGTATTTTATACAATTATAAGATGCTGTTTCAGGTCAAAGTTTAAAAATATCAAAATAAGTTTTAATAAAGTATTCTTAATGAGGTAAAACATGTGATTTACAAATATTTATTAAAAAAATTTACACACCTTTTATTCTTTTGATAAATTAACTAATCAATCATGTTTAAATTATTGTGCTCCCTATTTAGTAAACAAACTGCTATTTAACATTCCCAAAACTTCAAGTAAAATGTTCAGTATTCTGTTCTCATGGTTTTTTAAATTAATAGAAAGACAAACAGAATGAATGGTACTTAAGAAATATGAAAGAAATTCAAACAGAAAGATTTTTAATTCAACATTTACAAACAAAATTCTGAAAAATTTCAAAGGAAAGACTACTACGTAAACACGAAAGAGAAAGTGAAACAGCTGTCATAATTAAATCACAAGAAGGCATCATTTGAATTAAATCTACATTAAAGTATGACTCATTTCTATTAGTCTTTTTATGTTCTATTACATAGTTGGATGTTGCATTTTCTTTATCCTACTTTTTGAAGTCATGCTTGACATGAACAGATTGTACATAACATGTTACTTAGCATTCACTTTCTGAAGTATTGTTGGGGTGGGGGAGCTTTTAGATCAATAGTAAAATTACTTGTGCCATTTGACAGGACTTTGTAATGTAATAATTAATCCATGACAAAGGATCAATAACTTATCTAACTTGACCAGTAAATGAAAAGAGAAACATTTTTCACGTGATGAAGCAGTCACTAAGCTTGGCTAGTTTAGCTCACTGTAGTTTCTTTGATGCATAATTCCAACTTATTTTTGGTTAAGGTATCAATATTAGTTAAACTGTTGAAGACCAACCAGAGTTTGACAGCAAGAGGTTTAATAGTTTTTTATGGTTTTATAACATATACAGTTGAACTTTACTTTCTCATTGGTCTGCTATTACCTAGCAGTGCTAATAACAAATTCTAATGTCATTAATGTCTATAAGCACTCATAACACAAGTAGCAGGAAAAATATAAATGTGATCTTATTTGGAGAATTATTTCAGAAATGAGTCTCTAAATCCTACTTTGAATCTGAAAAGCAAATGCCAAAATAAAGAAGTATTAAGGACAAATTAAGTTTAGGAACAGAAGACTGACTGATTTGGATGTTAGAAATTTTGTATAGATACTTTATTTTGCTAAATTCAACTTTGCACTAAAGATTCAAGCTGTAGAACTTCTTCCTATAAAGTAATTCAGACCTAGCTATTCTAGAAACTAAAGTGCTTCATATAAATTCTGCAACAAAGCTGCACTTGAAATATTTATATGTGGCTGTTAAAAAGTGCTAAACTTCCAGTGTAAGTAGACTTATGATAGAGCCCTACTTTAAAACTGAGTTTCCATAAAAGTAATAAAGTGATAATTTTATATTATCATTGGAATTTAAGAAGATTTACAATCTAAATAGTTCTAAAATTATGTGACAAGTAGGTTTGCAAAACAAGTAACATGAATTGTCATAGTACTTAAGATGTCACAGAGATGTAAACACAAGTAAACGTTCATCCAGTCTGGCACAAGAAGTTTCTGTATAGAAAGGTGATAAAGATCATTCTGTGCTGATATCAATCTACACAGTTGTAAAAACATTCTCACAGAATGTTTTACTTTGTTGTATATCTTACATTTTGAAATAAATAAAACATTTGCTAGTGAAGTTGTAATTTCACATTCAAGATTCTTTCACATAAGCTTTCCTTGCACTTCACATGCTTGCACCTAAGCTTTCCTTGCACTTCACATGCTTGCACCTAAGCTTTCTTTGCACTTCACATGCTTGCACCTAAGCTTTCTTTGCACTTCACATGCTTGCACCTAAGCTTTAATTGTATTTAACACAATTTCCACTACATCGTGTCAACAGTTAACATAATCACCAATTTGCCACAGCTATTACCATAAACAGTCGTGTTAATTTTTGATAAGGAGCTTCTCAACAAAGTTTACTTATATTTAACATATTTTTTGTTGAGTAACATTTGCCAGTAAATTTATTTACAAGTATACTTGTCAAACATACAAAATGATCATACTTCCAAGTTATAGTACTTTTATAAAACTTCAGTATGACAAGCTAAACTGATTCTATCAATATCTTACTGTATGAATCATCATTAGGAACTCATGGTAAATTAGAGCTGATGATTAAAATCCTTTGACTTTCTTGTAAATTAAGTATGAATGACTCAAACAAGTTGAGTAGAATACCTTAATTTTCTAATATGTCAATTGTTAGCAATCACACAGAACCAGATAAGTGGAAAGGCCACTACTAAGTTTGTAATGTATAAACTATTAGTGAATCAGTTAATTAAAAAGTACATTAATTTTCTGACCATCTGACATGTGGATTATTAGTGATTTATGAAGAATAAAACAAGTTAAACATGTTTATCAAATTTTGTAAATTGTCATCCCCCTCCGGAGTTCGTACAATTAAATAAAATACTTTATTTTTATAACAAATGAATCCCAAGTAGCCGAAAAGTAATAAGAAATATTCAAAAGAACTAGTGCACAAAACAATTTTTGGATTCTCACAAAGTAAAACAGTTTATGTTATTATTCAACACTAACCTGGAAGCAGAGAAGTTAGGTGGAACTCCTCCATAATACATTTTAGTATTTGTATTCAGGTAAATTTTATAATTATTTCTCCAGTCATCTGTTGTTGCTTCAAGAACAGAGTCTTGTATCTTAAGTTGTACTGAAAATAAGAACAAAATGAAAAATAAAAATACACAAATACCACTAAAGACTCAGAGTTTAGAACATCAAATGTTAAGTGTAATATTATATCTACAAACACATATGTATGCTTCATTTGAAATACTATAATAAGAGGACCAAAATGTGATGAAGATTAATTCTATTGGACACATATTTCTAAAAGTTTGGTGCACTATTTTTTTCATTTTGTTTTCTTTAAATAATCAACATTGTTGATGTTAGACTAACTTTATCATGAATCATTCATGGATTAATTATGATAGATTTTTCTTCCTCTTCAATCACAATTTTGATTATTTGTTTTCTGTCACAGTTAATTAGTTTTCTGGAGACTCAAATGCTAATAAAATGCTAATTTATACAATATGCATTTTGACGATAAATGTTTATGAACAATATTGAGGAATTTTGGATTTACATTAGACTAATCATAATTTTTGCAGTTTATATTACACTGCTTTTTCTTCCACTAGTTAAGATGTTTTGAGTCTAAGTTTTATATTGAAAATGAACAAGTCCTTATTACAGGTAATTGGTCTATTCATCAACTAGAATGCATTGTTAGTTTAAGTGATTTAATTATAATCTTTGATACTGTTACTGTCCTTTGTTCCATTTAATATTGTATTTGAATGTAAAAAACAACAACTATTTTTAAGGTTGTATGTTTAGTGTACAATCATAAAGTAAATTCTAAGATATTTATGAAGAAAATGTTAAAAAAACAGATTGTGGTCTGAATTTGTATTAAAGAGCTATGAAAGGCTATTATTTGAATGTCGTCGAAACACTCAATCAGGACATTTACAAATTAAATGACAATATCTCTATCTCCATAACTAATCATGTTATTCGGCACTGAATTTCCCAAAATTCATAAAAACATTTACACACACACACACAATCTATTATGATTCAGTTAGAAAGGACAGACAGTTTCATGGACCTAACCTCTGTTCTTATCTCGACGCACTTTTATATTCACTAATTTTCCAGTGTTGAATTTTTCAGTTGTGCTTAATACCAGCCTGCTAAAGGTTGGTCCTACACTTCCTTGGTAGAATATTTTCCCCTTTCGAAGTTCTATTGACACAAACTGACCCTAAAAGTTTATTAATACATTATTATTCATAACCAGTCAAAGATTACAAGATAAGATTTTTAAAATTACATTTTTTCTAACAATGATAAAAATAACACACACATATATATTTTTTTTGTAAAAAAGAGATTACAAAAATGTCATATACTTACACATACAAGTTATGTATTCATTTTAAAAACAAAAACTGAAATGAACAATAACTAACTTCAAGAAAAAAAGCTAATTATTTCTGAGAACTAGCCTGAACAAGACATAATAATTTAGTGTTAGTCATCCTTAAAGTTGGTTTTGTTTACTCCAGAAAGATCAAGACCCCAGCTTTCACCCCAAGAACAGATTTAATTCATAAGACCAATTTATGAGTGAGTGATGTTATCATTCTAAGAATTAATTTGTTTAATTTATGAGTATACACATAATAAGGTTTTGACTATCATCCTAAAAACTGGTTTACATCATTTCACAAACTGTAAAGCAAACAAAAGACAATGCCACCTGAGTGAGATCAAAGAAACCATTATGCTACAACAGATACAGATGTTAAAACACCACTGCCAAGAAAAAACAGCTAAATGGATGGAGGCCTAGGCACTTTATAGCTGGGAGAAAGACCATCTCCTAAAGCGTAAAGGTCCTCCCTTATAGCTGGGAGAAAGACCATCTCCTAAAGCATAAGGGTCCTCCTTTACAGCTGGAGAAAGAGGTACACTGACTCCAAGCCAATCTGGCAGGGACTTGAAAGGCTCTTGTAAGAACCAGATATAATATGCCAGATGACAACAGCTAACCAAAAATTAATTACTGCACTGGAGGATCTTATGTCAGGGCTCCAGTGAAGGTAGGATGCTCTAGTTTCACTTGTTAGTGATTGAGTGTGTGTATGGTTATTTTCGTTTATTATTTTCTTTTTTGCATAATTTATCACTGTTCTTTTCTTTCTTTTCTTATATGTAAAATATAGTATATATACACACACACACACACACACACACACACACACACACTATGAACACTATATATATTCATACATCTTAAGAGTTTTTTATTTTACTGGACGTTGTATTATTATACAGTTTTATTTTTTAATGCATGTTATGTCACAATTGATTACTTTTAAAGAGTTTTCTGTTATTTTATAGTGCTATTATTATAAACGTTTTTTATAATGTTTGATTTAATTTGCTTTAAAGAAATGTTTTTTTTTAATTATGCTATATTTATTTTTAAAGGGTTTATTCTTGTATTTTGTAAAGTCCTACTGATTTTTAGGTAAAGTGTTTTTTTGTGTAAAAAATTTCCACTTTGTACATCTTACTTTTAAACATGCTTTCTTTTCTTTTATGTTTTATTATGTTTAAAGACTTCAATATTTTTGCATTATGCCATTGTTTTGTATAATGTGTAGTTTTGTTAATTTTCGGTTTTAGTGTTTAATCCTTTGTTGTGTCTTACAATCTTTTGTATTGTGTAAAATTGTGTTTTCTTTTATGTTTATTTGTATTGATTTGCTTGGGTGAGAAAAAAGTAACACAATTTCTTGACTAGTATGTGGGATATTATTTAAACTGATTTAAGTTTTACACTTTAATGAATATGCATTTTCTTAAATATCTGTGTATATTGAGCATGTATTCCTAATATAGAAAGTTGTTCAAAGGAGCCACTAAGTTGCATTCAACCAGGGCCAGTTTCAGCCTTTTCCTGGTGAGGGGACCAGGGTGAGCTAGATAGAATTGAGGGGTTGCACTCTACATCTTGTGAGCACACATACTTTAGTACTTAGAAAGTGAACCAGCTTTAACAGTAAGCACTTTCTGTATTTGGTGCAGAGGCTACAATGAAAGCTGATGCACATTTTGGGGTAGCTTCAGCCCAAGCAAGCCCTCCTTACCACTGTCCCTGCTGTTATCCTAGTTATGCACAAAACTAGGTCATTAAACTAACTTGTGCTTTATTGTAGGAAAAATTGTTGTAACAAAGTGCCTACTGTGTAAAAATCAATAGCTATCTTTTTCACTTGCAAGTCAGGTAATACCACAGGAATACAATATCCTTTTTTATTTTTTTTTATTTATTAATAGTGTTATTTTTCCTATATGATGCCATATTTAAAAATGATGATTTTGGAGATTGAAAAATATATATAATGATTTGCTTTAAACAAACACACACTGGTAAATGTGCCAAAATAACTTGCGATTAAGCTTTGATTGTGTTTTTTGAGTTATGGATAAAGATTGTTTCACTTGTGTCTAGTTTCTTTCTTTGCTTCAAACTTAGACTATGTTAAAAGAACTCAAACTTGCTCCTCAAAACATTTTCTGAGGAACCTCCAGTTATTCTGTGACTCTACACAGTTACTCACAGGTAAATCAGTGAAACAGAGAAAACTACATTTTCATTATCTCTGAAAATAGATAAATTAGGAACAAATCTAACCTTACAAACACTGAAACATTCCTTTCCATTGTTGGATGTGATAATAAAGATACCCAAGAAATAACTTAAAATGACTTAATTAACCAGAACTTTTTACTTCAGTCATTTAACCCTAAAGATGCAAGGTCTACCCTTTGAAATTTCAATGTGTGTGTGTTGTTAGATGGGCTTAGGTCTCTGCTTTCTAGCCCTTATGTTCCAAAAGTGCCCTATTTCTCATTCATAAAAAATTTTCAACAACTACTAAAAGATACATCTGATTCCACACCTTGCTTCTGCTACTTATTAGGGGAAAAGGAGGTTTCAGTTTTAAAATGAACAACACACAAGGACTTATAGATCTTTTAATTAAAAAATAATTCTGATAAATTATTAAGTGTTAGTATGCAAGAATTAAACGTTTAGGTTTAGATTTTAAAGTTTTCAATTTTTACAAGATCAATTGAAGAAGAATAAAAGAGAATCTGTTTGCTTCTTATGGCTTTTTACACTAAATGTACCAGAGGCAACTCATAGTCCACACAGTCTCCCACCCCCAAAGGCTTGCCTTATGATGCTTGAAAATGCCTCAATGAGTGCTTGCATGGGTTATTGGTTTCTTGAACTCCGTTTTATCTATGTATGATTAACTATCTCAATACGGGCTCGGTCAATTTGACTGACCATGTGACCTCTTTGTACTCATTTAAAGTCTTTACAAATTTAATACTTCTAACTTTCAATATAGTGTGTATATCTTCACTAAATTTGGCAGTCTTTCAGTTAATATTACAAGTCTTTCACCTGCAAAACAATCATTTTTTTAGTGAAGCATTTTTAATAAAATAAAGATTTGTCCATGAATATATTGAGTATTTGTTTTGCAGAGTCCATGTGCAAAGTAATTTTCATGTTAAAATTAACAATACTTTTCCTTTGTGTGATCCCTAAAACCTTCTTTTGAAACGTTTTTTGTCAGTAAAACTTTATAGTATACCTGTTATTTTCTCTACCCTATCTCAAAACGGAATTGGTCAATTTGACCGACCTCATAAACACACACACACACACACAAAAAAAGCTTTTTCTTTCTACAATGACTTCAAATTGTAACATGAAACTACACTCGTTTATCCTAAGTAGCTCTAAGTTCATAACAGTATACATATATAATTAAATGTTATTGTTTTATTGCCCTTTGAACTGTGTCTTAACTACTCTCTGCACCAATACAGGTTGTACATCATTTGGGGAACGTGCAACTCACGTTACGCTAGTGAATTACATTACCCACAAGCTGCTTGCATGTGTGCCTCATGAAACATTTTTATTATAATATTATTATTATTATTCATTTTACCTAATCTAATCTTAACTAACCTATAAGGATCCCTATTTTTACATTTTAGTTACTCTTATAATTAGACATACAGCATAAATATGAAAAACAAGAAACAAAATATTTAACCAATCTTCCTTTTTCTTGTTGTCATTTGTCGAATAGTTAAAACTAATTTTTTTTTTATACTATTGATAGTAATGCACTTCATGTTTATTTAATTAAATAATACACCAAAGAATATAGACTAATAACATGCAAAAAGTAGACAAATTCCCTTACCTCTAAAAATTTTTCTGGCTTTCTAACTAAATGAGAGCCGTTACAAATTCATCCAAGCTAGTCATTAACTTTCTTAAGGGAACGACATTGGTAGTCTAAGTCAAATTGACATTTAACTGTTCAGAACATAACGTTATACAATACATCATTTGATAGATGAAAAC